TGCCCCCCCCCTTTCTTTTCCTTCCCCTCTTCTGTACTGTTTAAGCGTCTCCATGTTTTCTAATGAAAATCTCTACATTAGAACCAAGAACACAAACAAGCACCTCTATATCTCTGAATGGTGAGTAATGGAGCTATTTCTGCTGCGAGAGAGGCTGTGATTTGAGCCATCTATTGCCACAGAGCTAGTTAAATCACGGAACAATAGTCACTGCAAGGGGACTTGACTTTGCTCAAACTAGCTTTAGTACCATGGCTTTCCATTAAGCATGGGACTTGCACAGAGGATTCCAGAAAGAGAGAGGGAGGAATCACTTTTGTAGTATTCACATTTAGACTTTGAGACATTTCATAATGCATTTGCTCTCAACCTAGGGGCATAGACCTGAGCTTCTCTCCCCCACTACTGTTTTCCGCAATGTTTCTAAATGCCCTTATGAAAAATCAATACACTTCTGCGTTGAAGTTCAGACATAAATGCACTCTAAGAGCCAATTATCAAGCAACAATAAAAACACACCTGGTAAACAACTAAGTTTTCGCTCAGAGGGTACTAAGCAATAAAGAGCCTAGAATGCGCATCCCAATTAGCCAGCGTAGTGACAAGCAGTCAACACCTTAATAATTAATCATTACAGAAAACCTTGCCATAGTTTCTCTTTGACGTAGCTCAAAAAAGGAAAGAAGGCTAGACCACACGTCCCACAACAATCACAACTGAAGGCAGAGGATGCTAAGACCCCACTGGTTTCAGGACCTGTGGGGCTGAGAGGTTCCAGGATGAGGCAGAAGTGGGATCCCATCAGGCAGTAACAATTTAAATAATTCTATCAAATGTGAGCACTGAGAATAAACCACCTGACAACAGGACCATTGTCCGCTGCCCCCCCCCCCCACTGTTTGTGGCCCACTCTTATTGGATGATAATAAATGCCTTCTACTTCTAGTTCAGTAAATAGTCACTGGTCCCCTCATGTGCTTTGGGGTTTTTTTCAAGCAAAGGAGACCAGTCCATCAAGGACACTAGGTTGTTCCTTGCCCTCCCATTTTCTTCCCTTACTATCACACTTCCCCCTAAGGGAACGGTTCCATCTCCTTGGGCACACCCCAATAAAGGGAGGGAACCCTTCGGTCAAGTTCGAGTTCACTTTTGGAATTTTAACCCAAACTCTTAATTTAGAAACCACATTCCAAACTTGTAAAACAAAACCCTCGCTAGCAGGTTTCCCAGACCCATGTGGGACCCAAAGCGCCCTGGCCCCCGGCTGCCCTGGGTCTCTGCGGCCCACGGCTCAGCGCTCTCCAGCCTTGGCCGCCGAGCAGTCCCGGCGGCCGCCCTCCCCCCAGCCCCCCCAAAGCCCACCAGCACTTGGCATTTAACCTGCCTGGCGAGCACGCCTTTCGGGTTCCCTCTCTGCAAGCCATATTACTTCTCCCCAGACGTCAGAGACAAATCTGGATTAACATGCAGCAGAGCGCCAGCCTCAGCCCAGGAACTGTTAAATGCAGATTCAGCCGAAGACCCCCCGGAGAGCGACTGTGACTGAAAAACTCAACTCCAAAGGGACCTCTTCTCTGGCTCCCAGGGAGAATCAGGGCTCCCGCACTGGTGACCGCACACTGCTGGCTGTCCGGGAGGTGGCCTTGGGGGTCCGGGTGGACTGCCCTCCTTCTCCTGATCTATTCAGGGAGTGGAAAACGCATGACTTCAAGGAGCAATAGACAACCTTGGGAGGCTTCATTCCCCACGCGAAGCGCCTTCCGACGTCTCCTGCTGAATCTGCACAGGGCGACTGGCGCATGCCCCTCCTGGCATCCCTCACTCCGTCCTGCGCCCCCAAACGCGAGTCCCTTTCCATGGCCCACTAAGCTCAACACTAGACTCGACGCCTCTCACCACGGACCACTCACTCCGTCCGGCCCGCAGTCCAGCCCCGGTCCCACCCCGGGGCCGGGAAGTCTCCGCGCCCCCGCGCCCCCAGCCCCGCGGGGCCAGCAGCCGAGCGCGGAGCGCGGCCGTCGGGAGAGGGCGCCCGGGAGGCTTGCGCCGTCGGGACGGTTCGCAGGCCCCGGGACTTCTAGGCGGCCTCCAGGACGCTGGGGGACGGCGGGGGTGGAGAGACGGGATTATGGTTACCATTGGCATTTTAATCTGATAAAAAGCTCCCGGAGCCAACAACACGACCAGGCCACGTGGATTTCTTCCGAATTAGGGCCTCCGCGAAACCCACTCGTATGTATCAATCAGTTCATCCTTCCGGGGCCCGGCGCGGGCGGCAGCCTTCACGCCGCCCACGCACAACCCAGAAAGGAAAATAAAGCGTGCCACTTGCAGACCCCAGAGGCACAGGGGTTCATGAGCTAACCAGCCCCCTGCGCTCCCGCCACACCTGGAGCGGTCCAACCCCAGAGCCCACTTTCTGTCCAGGCTCCAACTGGCCGGCCCCTTCGGCAGACAGGTGGAGAGTCTGTCCTTTTGGGACCTGGCTCTCGGGTCGTTGCACCCGGGGTCAAGCGTCCCCAGGGGCCAGAGTGCCGACTTCAGTTGCGAGAACTGGAGCCTTCGGGGAGGCCCTGCAGGACCTCATCCTTCGCGCTCCCCACCTTCCCAGGTCAAGAGAGCCCACCCCGCGGCAGAGAGCCAGCAGGATTTGCTGGCGCAGACCCGCGTGCGCCCCCCACGCTGCTTCCCCTTCTCCAAAAAGAGCCTATGCCTACTTGCTCCTGGCTCCTAGGACCCAGACCCTCAAAAGGAAGAAAGATCCTTGGCTGTGTTGTTCACTTACAATTGAGACCTGAGTAAGGGTCACGCGAGTGCGCCCACGGGCAGAGATGGACAGCGCCAGAGCTCTGAGCTCCTCTTAAGGGGTGGGGTGGGGGGCGAGGAGGACGCCCCCAAAGGCTTTTCAGGTTATAGGTAGGGGAGGAAAAGAAAATGAGCATGTTAACCCAATACAATTGGATATCTTTGGATATCTCATATTAAGGTAATTGGGTAACAAAAGTTTACGCAAGGAGTATGGGGCGAACTCAATGATGTGATACCAATTTTGGATCCTCTCCCCAACCCCGCCAAAAAAGTAACCCCATAACTTTGGTCCTTTATCTTTGACTTTAATAAAATAATGATTTGTTGAGAAAATGGGGTATAAATCTTCATTTTGGAGGCAATTAAAGTGTTGATTTCATTGGTGCCCCTAAGCGATTCTTGTAATTTGCTCAAATAGCTTTATGTACCCAGCACTCCCGAGCTTTTAGAATCCCATTTTCTAGTTAGGCTTGTTGGATAACAATTTTTACTCAACAGCAGCGGAATCTGCATTTAACCGCTCCCGGGCCGGATCGGGCGGGCTGAACCCCTCGGGAGGCCCGGCAGCCAGCGGGCTGGGCCTGAGCCGGAGCCGGGCGGCCGCTTCGCCAACCCTGCCGGCCAGCGGCGGGACAGCCCAAGCTCCTTGCTCCGGGTGCTGGTCTACACTCCTAAGAAGTTTACAACTCGCCCCCCAAGGCAGCAGACCCAGAATGCTGGCGCTGTTCAAGCTGAGCCCTGCCTGGCCCTACTCATTTCGTGTCAAGGAGAAATTAAGCCTCGGTGGTAGGGTGTCCCAGAGACGGCCAACCTGGGGTTTCGATTTTTATCTTAAGGGGCTAATGCTGAGAGAAAACTTTAGAATGACACCAAGACCGAGGTGCTGGGCACCCCAGCAAGGACCCCGGAAGACAGTCGCTGGCCAGCCCGGTTTAGAGCAGATCTTGCAAAGCTAAACTCTGCTGGCCCGGCTGGTTTATGGCTTAACAAAGGCAGGCTGGGTCTCTCCCTCAAGAAGGGATTCACGTGCCAAGTCAGAGAAACGACTCTGGGCCTTCGCGTCTCTCTGGGGGCCGGGCAGGCAGGTCACCCACACCTGCCCAAGTGCGGCAACAATTCGAAGTCGAGCTAACTGGCCCTGGCCCTTTCAGCTCACCCACTCCTCGCGTTTTCACCTCCGTTGCCTTTCGGCAACTCCTTTGGACCAAGCCTAAAACTCCGTGACAAGAGAGATAAACAGGGGGAGGGAGGGGGGGAGGGGAGAACCGCCCCCACCCCTGCAACTTCAAATCAAAATCTTCCCATCGGAGCAGCACTTCCGAAGCCCGGCCTGGAGGGAGCCCGGGAGAGGAGAGGGCTCTAGAACCAGCAGGAAGAGCCCAGGCAGCCTGGAGCCCCCACCTCCTCCCCCAGGCAGCCGCGGGGGCGCCCTGACGCTGACACTTCCCAAAGCTGCCAACCCAGCGGGCCCGGAGCATGTACCAGCTGGAGGATGAATGCAAAGGAGGAGGAGAAAAGTCCGTATTTATCTGTTTTTATAACCTCGGCCTGGTCTTATTTTTTCTATTAAGTACAATAAAATGGGCGAGCTTGCAGCGTGCACTGCACAAAGCAATGTTCAGTGAGGTCTAGAAGCGTTCGGCCGAGGAAAACTGACAAGACAGGCTAATGAACCGTACAGACAGGGAGAAAATAGCCAGCATTTGCTAGATTTCAAACCTTCGCTGTCTCTCTTAGACCACCTATCTTGGATTTATTCCTAATAAAATAAGAAATAACCAGACCCTACACTTTTCTTTTCTTCGAAATAGAAGGGGGGTTGGAATGCTCCCCGAACAAAGCCCTGCAATCAGAGGCAGTCACTGGCAGTTAGCACTCTCATTATCATGGAGGGTAAATAAAATAAAGACAAAAATTAAAAGCGACAAGAAACAGGTCAAGTTTGCAGGCAAGGCTTTTACAAGCCCATCTCTACAGGTCGAATCCCGGAGCCAGTCTTAATGAAGCAATAATAGCCACATTATTCAAAAATGTTCATTTCGATGGAAATGTATCTAAAAGGGACTTAATCATATGCAAATAATAAAAGGAGGTGGTAGTAACCTAGCAAGCAATACGCATACGAATGCCCCCCCTCACCTTCAACATCCCTCCCCCCCCCCCAGAGATATTAAGGATCGAAAAGCGCATACCTGGTCGGTTAGATTTGCTGATCTCGTTATGTCTTCACTGTCTGATTTTGAGCCTCCTTCTCTATCGTCTATCACCAAATCGATAGGCATTTTCCCTTTCAAACAGCTAATATACCGGTGGCAGAAATTGTCACATAATTCGTGTACCTACATGATGACAGAAATTTTAAAAAAGAAAATATAATCAGGAGTGCATACATGACATTGACAAGTACAACCCACCCCCTTGTGAGATGCAAACTTCCAAATAGGGGAAACACAGGGCAATTGTCCTCTAGAGACCCCCAGACGCATCCAGAATTAGGAATAACTTTCTTTTCTTGCAAAATAGAGATATCCCAGAAAATTGACAGTGACAAGATGATTCACAGGCTACAACATATTCAACACCCGTGTTAAATTCATCTGCTCCTGGGGCTGTGGCCATTAGAGAGGTGACCTGCGTGGGTGACATTTAAGGTAAACTATTTAATTTCATCCAGTTACTTTATCATAAATCCTTTTCCAAAGTGTCTAAAGAAAAAAGGTGAATATAGACATATGTATGTATAGATAATCATGCTTACATATCCCAAGGACCCATAATGTAGTGTGGCACATGCTTGGTACCTCAAGTCCCAGTAACATTCAGAACTAAGGTTTCTCTCCATAAGGAGCATATATTGGGGAGCGGGGGGAGAAGAAAATCAAATTGCCAGTACGTGGGATATGAAAAAGCCTACAGCCAGAACAACTTATCAAATTGATTTTTTGTTTTGTTTTGTTTTTCAAGGAAAAAGAAAACCTCCAAATGTTGAGGTGTGAGTGAAGAAGCCTCTTCCAGGCCCTGAGCATCACTGACTTGCAAAATTTCACAAGAAACCCCAGAGTCCTTGCAATTTAATGTTAGTTTGAATTGTAATGCATTAAGTTTTTATTGTGGAGATTTATAGAACAGCTACCAAAATCATGTTATCCCACACTCCTTTTTCTTGAGTATGAAGGTGGGGTGTGTGAGAGACTCACAGATACAAGAAATTGACACAACTATCAACTCTGCTTTGTCTCTGTGAGAACATTTAATGTGCGCCCCTCCCTCCACACACACCACCACCTCCTTGAGACTCCCTGCCTGCTCCTCCCTGGCCCCTGGGCCTCTCCTGTGTGCCTGACCTGCCATTGCTCTCAGACTGTCTTCCAGAAACTCACTAAACTAAACAAAACTTTGTTCCCCCTCAGAGGTAGCAAGGAAAAGGAGGGGACCAAGGGCCCAGAGGTATAATTTGGGAAGCAAATTCGCAACAACATTCAACACTTCAACTGGGATGCGTAGAATGCCAACAATTTAGCCAAAGCCAGCAAGGTATTAAGAATGAACACAAGGCCAGGGCGTTTGTGATCCTGGGTTTAGTGGCTGAAATTGTAATTAAACTGCAAAGAGAAATGGACGCTAAGATTGGCCTTGACACTAATTACCAGAAAGGAAGACATTTATGCAAATGTCCTAGAAGCCTGAACTTCAGTCATTCTGAACCCTCCCTGGTGTGTGTTTGGGGGGTGATGGTGAAGCCATGGGAAAAGAGGGTAGAGGAATTACCTTCTCTAATTCCAACAGATGAAACCTTAATACTTGTATGGCTTGAATCATCTGCAAAGATACAAAAAGAATGAGGGTCCATTCCTGGTTTTGTAGACTATTGACTGTCTCTGCTCTACCATCTCCAACCCCCTCCCCCCGGTAAACAGAGTTATTTTGATTTATGGCAATAACACTAAAACTTAATAGCAGCGACTGGGTACCATCTAGAGGTTTATATTTCTTAAGGAGAAAAAAATGACGAAAACAACAACAAAGCGTCTAAGTGGGGACCATAAACACCCTCCTCCCCCACGGCTCCGCTCTCTCCACCCCATCCCTCCCCCTCTTCAAGGGCTGCTTCTCTGGGCTGGAGTTTCCCTCGCAAGGAGGGGACCCTAGAGATGCCAAAGCGCCCCCACATTGTGGCTTCTCACAGGAAAACTTCCTGCCGCTCTCCGCACACCTTTCGGGCACATTGAGTAGTTCAGGGCCGCTGCCCTGATGACGCGACTCTGAGGGTTAGGGAGTTGCACATCTTAAGCACACAAGCTGACAGGCCCAGAGATATATCCCCCCGGCTGCGTTGAGCTGCGCAGCCCGGCTGTCACAAAAACAAAAGCTCGCGTTTCCCGTGCCGGCCCCTCTCGGGATGAATGGATTTCCCGGGGACCTGGTCCCAGAGCACTTGTCCGTGGACAGAAACACTTGCAAGCCAGTTTGCGGCTACCGGAAGACCTGTCTAGGAACCTCAGGTCTTTCAAAATAAAGCTGGGGTGCTGGGTGGAGAAATGGTGTGTGTGGGGTGGGGGAGGATAAGGGGTCCGCTCTTACCAAGTTATCCAGTTCTGGATTAGAAGAAAATAGAGGTTTTTCTGCGCGAATCTAAATACAGATGAGCAGAGGGCAGGGGGAGAGGGAGAGAGAGGGGGAAAAAATAAAGACAATGTGAATCCGGGCCGCCTGTTCCAGTTTCTCGTCACCCTACGCTGTCCTGGGCAGTATGGAACCGGGGGCGGGAGCTTGTCCCGCGCAGAAACACTTCCATGTGATTCAAATAAACCGAAAACGCCCCAGAACCCCTGGCTGACTTCTGGTAGCGAGGATGATTCTCCCGGAGGCCGAGCGGCTGGCCTAAGGCAAAGCAGCCACCAGGCCGGGTGTTGGCGATTTTGTTTGCTAGGAGCTTTCTGCGTTAGGTGAGGGTGCGTGAGCGGCGGTGAACGCGGTTGTTTTCGAAACCAGCAAACACCCTCCTCCGGAAGCCGTGTCTCCGGGTTGGGGGACAGAGTTTTGACTCAGAGGGGACTCTTGGTGAGCCAGACACTTTGGCAAATGTATTGATGGGGGGGGGGGCAGCTCTATTATTCTTTCCTTTTTCCCCCCTTTTGGTTTCTTTAATATATATATATGTATATATTTTGCTGACCTGTTTGGCGAACACAGCTATATCTTCATTGAATGACTCTGAAGAGCAGACGTCCCCGCCCGCCACCCCGGGCTCGCGGGGGGTACAAGTAGCTAATTCACATTTCTCAAAAATCAGTGCTAAGAGAGGGAAGAGGGGGTGTCTGCAAAAAAAAAAAAATACAAAGCACAAAAACAACGCAATGGTTAGTCCCCAGTCCGAGAAAAAGGCGCCCAAGGAAGCAGCCGCGGAGCTCCAGGCAGGGACCCCCACCCTGAATTAACCTCGACTTGTTCCTTCGCCCTTCCGCCCGCCCGCCCGGCTGCTCCCCTCGCCTACGGCCCAGGGCCCTGCAGTCTGAGGCCCAGAGCTCTGGACCGTATCTGAGGATCGGTTCAGCATTTCTGGCCGGAGAAATTGGTAACATTTGCTAAGCATAAAACCCCAAGCGGTTCCAGCAGCCATTTTGAATTAAGTTTCCCACCCCCTACACGACCCCGTCCCTGGGCTCCACAACCAGGGCCCGGTGGAGAGAAAGGGAGCGAGAGGCAAGGGCTTGGCAAAGCTGGTTGAGTAGATAACTGGGAGGCGGGCGGCCGCGGGAGGCCAGAGGGCCCGGGATCCCAGGGGCAGGCGCTCAGCTAACTTAGAAAGAGGTCTTCTGAAACTGTGGGGCTGACTGTCAGGGACCTGCACCTACGGATTTTGACCCCAAGACCCTCGGGGAGTAGGAAGGGCCCACCCTTAGGTTCCTTGCACACTTTCGTGCCTTCACCGGTGGCCCCACGGCCCCCCAAAGAAAGTTGCTTCCTAGGTTCCAGCGGTGACGCCTTTCATTTTGTCTGTGCGGAGTGGCAAACAGCTGGTATTGCGAGGGGCCTAGATGTGGCTTATCTCCGCTCATAAAAGAAAAGAGGGGGGTAGGGGAGGCGGGAAAGCTTCTTCCAACGTTCAAGGAGGTGTCTCAAGCCTTTTATTAGCTCTTACAGCCCAGCTGGGCATTTTACAGTTGGGTCCTCTCCAAAGCTCCCCCAAACGTGCTGTCCCGGAGCCTAAACCAGTTGCAGTTCACGATGCAGAGAGGAAGCTAAGAAGCCTCTTCACAAGGGATCAGGAAATAAAGCAGGTTGCGATTTTCCGCTGGGGAAGGCCGGTGTGAGGTCCTTTGACCCAGGAAGATATTTAAATATTTCTTTAAAATTAGAAATAAAAGTTGCTACCAAGTTAAAAAAGAAAAAAAAAAGCGAAGAACCTCCTCAAATTCATCAGCACACAGTAGGCACATGGCTTTCAAAAGATTTTGCTAGTGGGGAGAGCGGTCAGGATCTGATCTAACGTCTTGGGAGAACCCTGTGTAAGGAGCCGCTGGAAAACAGCCTGGCTGGAGGGCAACCCCCTGCTCCACTTCTATCTCAATCTTGTAGGTTTTGCCTTTAAACACAAAGTGCACAGAAACGCCTGGAAGTTCCTTAATATCTGTACAATTTCCGAGCGAGCTTCTCTCCTTGAAGCCAGTGATCAAACTCCCTAAATGCAAAACATGTTCCCCCTTGTCTGACCTGCAACTGTCCTCTCCGGCTTGTATTGTGCTGTGCTAGAGCCAGCATGCGGTTGCTGAGTAAACTTAGCAAGTCAGAACAATCAGTGGCTTAAAAGATTTTCCCTAAACTAAAACTTTAGAGCTCACACAAAGGCGCCTACATTTAGAAACCCCTAAAGCTCTCCCAACCGAGACCAGCCAGTAGACTCCAACTGGCTCAACTCTCGGCCCTATGTCTGAGAGCGGCCCAGGGACTCAGGGAACTTCTCCTGCGTGGGAACCCTCCTTATTCCTACCCGGTGGCCGCAGAGCCAGGCGCTGGGCCACCAAGGAGGGTGTGTGTGGCCATACGGGCTAGCTGACTGCCTCCCCAACTTTCCATGCAACGCCAATGTAAAGTCCCCAATGTGTACCTCCATCCGGAGAACTCCGACATTCCTCTTAGGATCAGCACAGGGAATCAAGGGCAGCATCACATCTCAACTACTTAACCTGCCGCTCATGGTACGTACCCATAAATGGCATCTTTATCTCTCTTTAAAGCGTCATTGACGGAGGAAGCCATGCTGGGGGCCATGGCGTTGGTGTGAGCTGTGTGCGGGTACTGATGCGAGTGCAGAGGAGGCCCGTGGTTCAGGTGGTGGACCGGCTGCATGGTCCTGGCAGCGTGCGGGTCCCCATACATCGTGGAGGGGATGCCTACGCCATCCATGCCCCCGTAATGGGGCAGGTCGTCGTACTGCATGACAACAAGGAGATAAACAAGGTTCAGAAGGCCAGGCAGGCAAAAGGGGGGAACCCACAGCAGGCTCAGGGTTTATAGAATGTCAGTCCAGCTGGGTCCTTTTCACCCGGAAAAGGGTGGCCTTGCCTCTCTTACGTTGAGAGATTTCTTATTGAAAAAGAAAAGAAAAAGAAAAAAGAAAAAGGAAAGAAATCCTTAGAGTACAAATTCCAGGATTCTCCCTGAGTAAGACTGACGGAGATGGTCTTGCCCTAACTTGTGTCCCTATCAACTCCGTTCAGAAATTCAGGATCCTTTGGCAAGGAAGGAAGGAAGGAAGGAAGAAAGAAAGAAAGAAAGAAAGAAGAGAAGGGAAGAAAAGGACGGTTTCTCCCAGAGGGCGGAAGGTAAAACGTGCAAGGCTCCAGAGGAGGAAATTCAAAATCACAATAATAAAACATGCCAGGGCAGTGCAGCAAACCTGCCTCATCCCACAGTCCCTTCACAACAGGGGGAATTATTACAAAAAAAAATGTTATGGTGGGAACAGCTACGCCAAGCACGTGAATTCATACAGGCTTTGCATTCCCCCCCCACCCTGGGCCAGCGGCCCGGCTAGGCAGACCCGCAAAGATGCTGCATTTCCTATGCTTTCCAAGACAAACTCTGCTAAATGATACAAAACTCACTGCCCCCTTCTAAGTGAAACTCAGGAGAAGCTGGCCTTTACTGCATATCAGAGCTGAATTTTCAGATTGGTGAATTTGCCTCCAAAGTGCAAGTAAAACCTACAGTTGAAGTGGTTTAGGATTCTCTTTCCCACTCATCCATATGAACTTTCTCCCTAGACTAGAAGTCAATGAGGCAAAGGCTCCTAAGCAGGCTTCAAGCAAATTCAAAGCAAACACTCATGCCAACCCCTGTCTCCCTATTCCAGAAGAAGAAGAAAAAAAACCCACACAACCAAAAACCTATTTTCCCATTGATTGTCAATTTCTGTGCGAAGTTTGGCTATTTAGAATTTCTAATGGCTTCATTCCAGGCAAAGCTTTTTCCCAAGATTTGGAGGTGCTGAGAGTGAAATGATTTTCAAAGAAAAGAGGAATTGCCACTTTCATCTCCTTAAAGCCAGAGGTGTGAAAGGAGTTTGGAAGAACGCTGACATTTGCCTGAACCAAAGGGGTAAAGAAAAATGTGTCAGCCTAGTAACTTTCTTTTGCAAACAGGGCTTTGAGGGCCAGGACCCAAATTATGCAAGGGAGGCTTTTTGTGGACCTCTTTTCTTTTAAGAAACTACCTCAGTTGGGTTGTCATTGTCTCACTTTACTCTCACTACATTTCCATTCAAATAGGAATATTGGGGAAATTAGTATTGCAGTTTTCAAGCTAGTAGCTGTGTGCTTAGTATCCAATTAGTACAAGACTTAGCTAAGAGAAACTTTCAAACGACTACCTTGTATTTAAAAAACTATGCAGATTAAAATGACGCTTAAAAGATGATTATTTTCACGACTCAAATTCGGCTGAATTGTGACAAAGTTATTTGCTTTGAAAAGTTCTGTTTCTAGTGAAATAGCAAAGACAAGTAGAGTCAATAACCTATCTGAAGTTTCCGGTTGCTTATTTTAATTTTAAAACAGCTTCAAACTGATCTCTGAACACTCAAATGATAGCATTAAGTATCTAGTAGTTTGATTTTTGTGTGGTTGATTATTCTTAACAGCTGATTTCTCCAGCTTGAATTTTTGTTTATAAAGCTACTGGCTAGGCATCTATAGAAAACTTGACTACTTGAATTAACAATCACATATAACATACATAAAGTCTACAAATGCATTGAATAAATCCCCTCACGTTAGGCCACGGCTTTAGGAAACTCATTCAAAGAGAAAGAGAGAAAGAGAAGAAGAAGGGGGGAAAAGAAACTTTTTAGCAGTGTCCTTCAGCTACGTTTCAATTGAAATCTCACATTTGAGCTTCACAATTGTTTTTTAATACGTACCCTTTGCGCCATCGGCCTCCCTGGCTCCCTTCCTACTTCAACTTCTAATATATCCTCTTTAAGGCCAGTGTGAAAAGAAACGAATACGCAAAGTCCCGGGAAAAAAAAAAAACGGCGAAAATTCTCTTAACGTCTCCAGCAACGTGAGCTACCGGTCCCAGATCTTCGGTCTAAGGAACCCGAAGCAAAGAACCCGAGTCACTGAGCATAAAAGCGCTCCGTTTCCAAGACAGCAGCGGGGGGAGGAAAAAAAAGAAAGAAAGAAAGAAAGAAAAGCAGGTCTTCTCTTCTCTCCCCAAAAATTCTGTTAAAAAAAAAAAAGCGCCCCTCAGACCCAACTACCAAATCTCATGGCTTTCTGCCACTCCGGCTGTCAATCACAGGCGAGGTTGTCAACGTGGGGAATGAATGATCATCCGCTCTGTCTTCTTCTGGTCAGAACACCTCAAATGTTAATATTCAAATGCACAAAGCCCTAGCGCTCGCTTTCTTTGAATCAGTCCTAATTCCTAATCAGTTTCTCTCTTCTCTCGCTCTCTCTTTCTCTCTCTCTCCCTCTTTGCAACTGCTGCACTGGAGGGAGATTAGAGGAGGAGGAGGGTTGAAAAAAATGTCTGTCTGAGTTTGTCTTAAAGGAGCCGCGATCGATGCAGCCCGCTTGCAGTCCCCGTGCGTGTGTAAAGTGTGTGTTGCACAGGCGGAGAGGTGGATTCCGACCGGAATGCTAGAACCCGGAAGTAGTGGTGGCCATAACAGGTCGCGTCTTACACAATGCATTGGGCTGCAGCAAGTAGGCTCCTCGGCAGGGGTGGGTGCGCGAAGCGAGCTCTGGCCACACTGGAGAGGCGGAGTGGCGCCCCATTACATCGCACGCCCAGGCACTAACACTCACACACCCAGGGCGCGCGCGCACGCACACACACACACACACACACACTCCCGCGGGGAGCAGCATCGGGCCCGTCCGCTTTTTTTTTTTTTTTGGCCCCAGATCCTTTTCTGCCCCCTACCCCTCCGGACTCGCCCCCAAGGCGACTCTGGAAATAAATTGAGAATAAACGCGGGGGCAGGCAGCTGGGAGAGTTGTTTTGTACCGGGCGTTCTTTACACAGGGCTCCGCGCGCAGACTGCACGACTGTCCTCGACATTCTTGGGGTCTGCCGGGATCTTTCGGGGGAGAGGGGGTTGCAGGCAAGCTGGATTCCCAGGACGAAGCCCCCCCACCCCCGCCGGGAAAAGTGAACCGGGGACCCAGGCAGTGGAGGGGGAGAAGCGGGAACCCAGGCTGGGAAAGGCTGCGTGGAGTCCGGAGAACACGGCGTGGACTCTGGCTTGCCGCAGACCCTTCTCGGGAGTTTCTGTTGGCGGACAGAGGGGATGCCGAGCCCCCGGAGGGGAAATGCTGGCCTTTGCTCACTTTGGGGCTGGGCGCCCGGGCGGCTCGGAGCCCCAGTCCGGGCGTCCTGGGAGAAGTGCGCGAGGAAGGGACGGAACAATAAGCTGAGCGCCGGGAAGGTGCCTCCAGCGCCTGTTTACAAACACCCAGCTATTTATGATCGCCCGAAAGCGAACCCCGACGCGGGCCGGGTGC